AGAATATGTTTATATCCTGCAAATCTTACCAATATCAGGTGTTTATTTTCGATTTTATTCTGAAAAGGTTTATTGAGTTAGAACAAAAATTGATTGTTTTTTTTTAAATAAATTTCTAAGACAATATTAAGATATTTGTACATAGATATATTCAGCCAAATTTGCACCATTTTATATGGAGTATACGGGAAAATTTTGGTCGCGCCTACGGGCTCGGATACTCAACATTAAATTCGGCTTTGTGCCACATCTGGCCGCGTGTGCCGGTTGGTAAAGATTCTAGATTTGGAGATTCGTCTCCAGCTGGGCTGGTCAAACTCTCTGACTCCGTGCAGAGAGGATCCTCAGACAAGGCTATGTCGAAGGGCAGAGTCTCGTCTCGGGAAACAGCTACCCGACCCCGTTATATACGGGGAATTTTTGGTCGAGCCTACGGGCTCGGATACCCCATATTAAATTCGGCCTTGTGCCGCATCTGACCGCGTGGGGTGGTTGATAGATATCCTAGAGTTGGAGATTCATTGTGGAATTAACTTGACTCACTTATAGCAGCTGACTACTTCTACGCACCGCTGGTGAATCTTATATGTGTTGTTCTTGTCCTAAGTATTATCGTTCATTACCAACCTTCATTTGATTATTCTATTCAGTTACAACAGCCATAAATTTTAATCATGCGTGAAACGAAATCACCCAATATTTGAATAATAAAATAGTCTGTAATACAAATTTATTAGCCATCACCCACCACCAAATACTATATATATTCAACATAATTTCAGTGTATGTTCCCTGAAATTCCCCGAAATCGGTATAGAAACAGGCTACGAGAAAAACTCGAGGGAAGACTAAATATTATAATATAAAATAAAAAAGAAGCATGCGATGAAATAAAGGCAGAACAATGAGATGGAAATAATGTCAAGCCCTAACAGACATTCCCTCTGTTTACAGAGGGAGGGTTGTCTGGATTATTTATAAGGTGCTCAGCGATGGTGGAGCCGTATGTTTGTTGATCTTGTCACTAGATTGGAACGTTCCATACAATAAAGCCACTAATTTGCAAGATGTTACTGAGGGTGAAACAATATGAGAAAAACATTATTAAGGAAATATGTTAAAATTAAGCAGATATAATGTTTGTAATTAATTTAATCAGACATGCCTAAATGAGAATTTGGTACATATATATATATATATATATATATATATATATATATATATATATATAACTGACAGCGAATGCCTATTATGTTTGATCATGAGCCGTTCTAAGCTTCGTATAAATGCTTGAATTTCAGGGGAGAAAATAAAGACAAAACTGCCCGAAGTTTGGATATTTTTCCATTATTCAGTTCCTCGAACTAAGCTTTCGGCTCACATGGGCCATCATTCATTATCTTTCACGTGGTATGACATCATAGAACCGCATCACGAATTTACGACCTGCGTCTGCTATTCTGGGATCGTTATCGTCGCATAGCAAACTTCTATGTAAACATAACAGGATATCGTCTTTGATGGTGAATATCTTTGTTGTACTGTCCATATAAGGGTTCTCATGATGATGGCTCACATGAGCCGAAAGCTAAGATCGAGGAATGGCATAATAAAAAGTAACTAAATGTGGGACAGATTTTGTCTTCGTATTGGAGCTTTAGCTTCTCCCGAAACTAAAGCCCCTATACGAAGCTTAGAACGGCTCAGATTAAACCTTGTCTGTTATATTTAACAACATATATTTGAATAATGAACTACTGTCACAATACACTATATATATATATAAAATCGATTCTCCCATCGGGTTCGACGTATGAGGGTCAAGCAGATCAGTTTCCAGGAAACTGACAGCCCGACACCGGCACATGACATTCGATTATATTGGTGAAGGTTTCGTGCAGGACCATCCACACTTTTTGAAGGGCCGAATACAGAGACCTAGTGCACTAAGTGCCACAAAGTCCCCAAACAACCCCCCTCAGGTTTTGAATTCAGAGTTGCCCTTCTCCTAGACCAGTTGCCATCCAAGGCTATAGAACCCAGTCTGTCCTGCTATTTAACCCATGGCTGGAGGGAGAAGAAGAGGATTCACACCTTTCCCAACGGTATTAGCATGTAAGTGAATGTAATGGATTCAAGCTAGATTCGAACTCGGCTCTGCGATTCCACAATCCAAGCCGATATCCATTACCCCACCGTGCGTGCGTGCGTGCGTGCGTGTGGCTGCCTGCCTGCCTGCCTGCCTGCCTGCCTCTCTCTCTCTCTCTCTCTCTATATATATATATATATATATATATATATATATATATATATATATATATGTGTGTGTGTGTGTGTGTGTGTATGTGTATACCGTGTGTGACAGTATAATTGTCCAAATTGTGTAACAGCATAATTGTCCATCCCACAAAATGTTTAGTATCTAAAAGCACAACTGAATTTCTTTTTTCCATGTTTTCAGATAACTAGAACGAGAACTGGTTAAAATCGTTTTGTGTTAGACCCACTGTCTTCCCAACTGAGCAATGGTAGAGGTTAAAGATCATTCAGGACATCAGTAATGGTACCAATATTTATACTCTGGATTCCATCTTCAAATCCATTCAAGAAAGATCAAGAGAACGGTGAATAACTTTTAAATAGTGAGAACAGCATAGAGGAAAACTGGACCAGGAGGTCACAGCAGGAAGAGGAATCATCATTTACACTTAGAAAATATCCAATTCAATCCATACGAGATTTGACACGTGAGAGAGGAGTTTCAGCTATGACAGTCCAAAGAATTGGGAAAAGAGACTTGAAAATGAAATCGTACTTGAAACCTGTGAGGCATCTTGTTACTCTAGGACAGAAACTAGAATATTAGTGAGAGCAAATATCATCGTGATTAAGTTAGAAAATGATCCTAGAATAATATATATATATATATATATATATATATATATATATATTATTATTAATATTATTATTATTATTTCAATCCCTTCATGAGCTTCCGATCCTCAACTATAATTAACTTATGATGAACATGGCATTTTCGTTTATGATCGATTTCATCACGATTCTTCTGTTAAGCTTAGAGAGTAATTATACATTCTTATTGCTCAAAGTAGAATCTAATAGTGTTATAAAAAACTCGGAGAATTCCAGTAAGATATCTTTAATCGTTTCTAACATACAACGGTTTAAACTTAATCTAGCAATTGAACAATTTTAATGTTACACGATGTGGACAATTTTGGTGTTACTCTCTCTTTCTCTCTCGCTCTCTCTCTCTCTCTCTCTCTCTCTCTCTATATATATATATATATATATATAGTGGGAGGAAACAAAAATTCGTACACATATTAATTTTTAATTTATTGTGTTTCCAACTAATGAATACACATACTTTTCATATCATTAATTGCACACAGATGCATAATAATTAAATATGCATAGAAAATATGACATTTTGATTTAACAGAAACAAATCTCTTTTATCCATTTCAATGGATGAAAAAAGTATTCGTACAATACAAAAAAGAATACATAATCTTGATTTAATATTTTGCAGAATAGACATTCACTTCCACAGCAACCAAACTCGTCTTGTATTTCCCAATTAACCATTCGCAAATTTTACTTGGTATTTTGTTCCAATCTTCTTCGCATATAGTCTTCAGATCCGGGATGATTGCTGGAACTCTCGGCTGGATTTGAATTTTCAAATAACCCCACAGATTCTCGACTGGGTCTTCATCTGGGGACTGACTTGGCCATTTCAGGATATTTACATTATTTTCAGCAAAGCCATTTCTTCGCAGATTTTGCAGTGTGATTAGCATCATTACCCTGTTGGAAGATCCAGTCAGAAGGAAGTTCAAGATTTTCAACCGAAATCATTAAATTTGCTTCCAAAATATTTTGATATGCTGCGGTATTCATTCTACCATCTATTACTGTTATATTGCCAGCAACATTTGCAGAAAAAACATCTCCAAACCATGATGCTTCCACCAAATTTCAGTGTTGTAACTATGTTCATTTGTTTGAAGGCATCACCATTTTTCCTCCATACTTGATTTCTAGAATTATTCCAATCAATTTTAGTTTAGTCTGTCCATAAAACTCTTTCCCAATACGATTTTCCCTTATATTCACGAACGAATTTCAAACTGGCATCTTTGGGTTTTTTTCAACAGTAGTGGAGTTTTCCGAGGGGAGTATGACTTTAGATTATTCCTCTGAATTTCATTGCTTCTTTTCCATTTTTTTTTTTTTTTTTTTTTTTTGACACGGATTCCTGATAAGAGCAAATCATCCTGCAATTCTTGATGAGTAACCATTGAATTTTGTTTAATTTGACGCATCAATTTCCTCGAAGATCGTGAAGAAATCTTCCGTGGAATACCTGTTCTTCTTTGATTTTACAACAGTTTTGAGTTTTTATATCTTGCAATGAATGAACTAAAGGTAGTAAATGGAATACTCGGGTTGTCTGCGATTTTTCTGTAACTTTTACATTCTTCCCAGAGCATAACAATCAGTTCTTTTTGCGAATTTATCAGTTCTTTAACTCTTGCCATGATGAAACCCTTCTTGCACGAATATCAGTTACAGAATGCACTGTTTGTATTTTTAGGCTAAAATAACTACTAATAGTATTATTGGAATATTCTAGGATATTCCACTTGAATAATCTAAAGTATTAAAGCAATTTTAAAATTTTAAAATCTGAAATTTGCATTGTCCGAATACTTTTAGCATCTATTAAAAAGGATAAATGGGATTTATTTCTATTAAATCAATTTTTTTTCTGTTTTCTATGCATATTTAGTTATTATGCATGTTTGAAATGTAACAAGTTAAAGATTTTTATATGTACGAATATTTGTTTCCCCAATATATATATATATATATATATATATATATATATATATATATAGTGTGTGTGCGCGCGTGCGTGCGTGTGTGTGTGTGTGTGTGTGCTCGCACGTATTCATCTCTGAGTGTGTTATATGCTGTCGTTTCTCTTTTGCCGTCTTGTACGTTTTATTTGTCCGTCTTTTTTTCTTGTTTTATTTTATTTTTTTATTTTTTATTTTTTATTTTTTTTTTAGCATTTATTTATTTGATTCCATCTTATTCCACAAGAGAATAACACTCCTCCATCTTCCGCAAATAGGTATCTTCGCCAAAGACATCTGTCTTCTATTGACGCCTTGCTTGGACACTTTTTTTTCTCCAAAGCAGACGGCATCTTCGTTTGGAGTTAATACATTGGCAGAAAAAAAAAATAGTTATTTTATCTTATTCCCTATCAAAACTTCACCTCTCGATTCTTACCTTTATTATTATTATTATTATTATTATTATTATTATTATTATTATTATTCACCTTTGCCTTTTCCTTCTTTATCGTCATCTTCTTCATTTTCTACTTTTCCATCCTATTCACCATCATCTTCTTCTTCCCATCATTATTATTTATTCATTCCTCTGCCTTTTCCTTCTTCTTTATCCTCATCTTCTTCATTTTCTACTTCTCCATCCTATTCACCATCATCATCTTCTTCTTTTCCTCATCTTCTTCATTTCTACTTCTCCATCCTATTCACCATCATTCCCATTATTATTATTATTATTATTATTATTATTCCCTCTGCCTTTTCCTTCTTCTTTATCCTCATCTTCTTCATTTTCTACTTCTCCATCCTATTCAACATCATCTTCTTCTTCCCATTATTATTATTATTATTATTATTATTATTATTATTATTATTATTCCCCTCTTTTCCTTCTTCTTTTCCTCATCTTCTTCATTTTTACTTCCATCCTATTCACCTTCTTTCATTATTATTATTATTTTCCATCATCATTTTATATCTCTGCGGAAGACCTTATTCCCATTATTATTATTATTATTATTATTCCAATTTTCTGCCTTTTCCTTCTTCATTTTTTAATCCACCTCATTCTTGTTTTCTTCTTCATTTTCATTGCTCAATTGGACATTCACTGGTTTTTTTGACAATAATCTCAATTTTTCTTCATCCCTCATTATTATTATTATTATTATTATTCACCTCTGCCTTTTCTTCTTCTTTATCCTCATCTTCTTCATCTTCTCCATCCTATTCAACATCATCTTCTTCTTCCCATTATTATTATTATTATTATTACTCCCCTCTGCCTTTTCCTTCTTCTTTATCCTCATCTTCTTCATTTTCTACTTCTCCATCCTATTCACCATCATCTTCTTCTTCTCATTATTATTATTATTATTATTATTTCTATTTTCTGACCTTTAATATTCTTTTCTCCATCAGCACTTACGTCTTCTCCTCACCGAATATAACGCTGATTCCTCTGAGAGGACTTTGATAATTCCTTTCTTTTATTGAATTGTTATTTATGTTTCGCTCCTGCAAAAAAAATAAAAAAAAATGCAATGTTTACATTTTAATTAGTAGACTTGGGAATAGACAGAAAAGTGAACCGCCGAGAAAATTCTATAAGACGTCCAGCCATGAATGAACGATAAATTTTAATGGCGCTTACGAAATTGGGAACAAAAAAGAAAACGACTATGCATAAAGAAAACGAACTTGTTAGAGGGTATGAATTGAAGAGAATGTTATTCTATTCCGATGAAGGTCCTCCCAAAAACTGTGGGCTTTTTTTTTCCGGCTTTGTGTATAAAACATGTAAAGGAATTGAGCTCACAAAAAAAAAATAGGTTAATGATAGGAATGAGACAATAAAAAAATAATTTCACCCCAAGTATTTTAAAAGTGTGTGAGAAAATATGAGAAAAATAAACATTACTAAGGAGCGAGAAAATTAATAATTAAGAAGATAACGACATACATTGCATTTAAATTATTGAAGATCAAATTTCACTTGAAAGCAAGATGCCAGAAAAGAGATCCACAAGCATAAGTGCGAGTGAAGAAACTGTTAACATAGAACTTACGGTTATATCTAGCCATTTCAACTGTAAAATTACGAGAGCTTGCCACCAATCTACAACCTTGTGCAAATTAAGTGAAACAACCGCTTTAGTTTCCTCTCTTTCACCATATGGTCAGTTTTAGACCCACTGGAATGACAGGGTGTAATCGATTTCTATTTTTTTTTTCCTCAGATTAGGTCATTTGCAACGGTATGCAGTAATATGAACCTATTTTCGGGGTGTATGATGAAATATGTTTGGCCTTGAAACATATTGCGTCATCCGTGGTTACATCTGATTTCATCACGCCAAGACACTATTGTCTCGACTGTCGATTAGTTGTCCTACGGCCAATATCTGTGGTGGACCTTACTGCAAGGAAGCAAACGAAAATTGTAATGCTGCACGCACACACTGGCAAGCCTTACCAGTGAGCAAATCAAAGTACTATAGACTGGACCAAAAACTTTCCTGAATTAAATCCAATCGAGAACCTGTGATCAATTTTCACAAGGGTTTAGCAGGCGCAAAAGACTAGATACGGCATGAATATTTAGTACAGTACGTTCATTATTTTTCAAAACTTTACCCAGGACTATTATTTGAAGCAGCATCTTTCGTCTCGTTTTATGTGCCGTTTCACTCCAGGACTTGGTCAAACATGTCTCTCCACAACTTCCTATCTTTATAGCTCTAAGAAGTTTTGATTTCTCACTACCCCGCCATTCTCTATTCTGTCACCCATTTAAACAAACTCATTGGGTAGGTTAGTTTCTATTTCTCCCCACCGAACTTCTCTTCAACATATCCCTGAGAGTTTCAAATTCTCCCAGCCTGCTTCCTCCTCATGTGTCTCTTTCTACGTCTATGTGTAAATGTCCTTTGTATTTCCATGTTCCTTCAAACGTGCTCGTTGCTCACATATTCCGTCCATAGTTTTCTCTGTAGAGCAACATCTTTGTTGGCCTAAGTCTACTCTTCATCGGTAAGGAAATTGTTGAGCATTCTCTGAGACCGCGTAACATTACAAAATGCTTTTGTTTGTTTCTTAACGAAGTGTTTCTCTTGGTTAATACTTTGCTTAGCTTTTGGAAGGAATTTCCGATAGTGTGTTCCGTTTTCGGATTTCTGTGTCCCATTTTCGTCGTCTGTTAAATGTCTTACGAGATATGAAGAATTCTGTACTCGTTTTATCCTGTCATCTCCAATTCGAAGTACCCATTCTGTGCTTCCCCAACTGTCATCGATTATACATTCTGTTTTCTTAATATTGATTGTTAATCCTGATTTCTTGCTTTCCTTTATTAGCTGTCTGGGAGATTGTTCATTTTTTTGTTTTTGTATACTCTCAACACGGTTTCATACCCGTACGTTATATTGCTAAGATTGTGCCCACCAATAATAAATCCTGATAGAACTTCTATTTCTCGCCTCGCTGTATAAGTTAAAATTCTTTAATAGTAAATACTGAATGATCAGTTCCAATTTGTTTGCATAGTTCCCAGTAGATAACCTTTCCCACCCAGTCATGCATGGTTTTGTACTCTTGCTTAACCAATTTATTGAATTTTCTTATTGTATCACTAACTGTGGTTTCTTCTTTCATAGTCGTTTTTGCCTCTCTTACTTGGCCTTAATATACAGTGCTGTTCGATAAAAGTGACTCAGCTGATTTTTTTTACTAAATGTTCTTTTCTTCGATGAAACAAAAGTTGAGCTAAATTCAAAGGATAAGCGATCTAAAATCCGAAGAAGAAGCTTTGAAAGCTCTTTGAATTTAGCAGTAAGTACTGTCAAGCATCCGTTCAGTATAATGTTCTGGGGATGCTTTTCTTTTCATGGAACTGGTTTCTTAAAACCTATTGAAAAGACCCTCAGGAGCGAGTAGTACAAGATAATTTTACAGTCTTGTCTGCTCCCTTCTGCTGAAAGGGTGCAAATTGACCCCACCAAGCTTATTTTAAATGCAGAATAATGTTTCCTGTCACAAATCAAAATTGATGAAGGAATATTTTGATGAGAAGCAGGTGAGTGTTATGACATGGCCACCCCAATCTCCTGACCTCAACCCCATAGAAAACTTATAGAGCATTATAAAGTACAGGCTCTCGAGAAAGCAGATGAGCATTATCCTGCATAAAAATAAGCTTGATGGGGTTGATTTGAATCCTTTCAGCAGAAGACAAGACTCTAAAATTCTCTTGTACTGCTAGCTCCTGAGGGTCTTTTCAATAGGTTTTAAGAAACCAGTTCCATGAAAAGAAAAGCATCCCCAGAACATTGTACTGAACGGATGCTTGATAGTGCCTACTAAATGCTAAATTCAAAGCTTCTTCGGATTTTAGATCGCTTATCCTTTGAATTTAGCTCAACTTTCGTTTCATTGGAGAAGAGAACATTTAGTAAAAAAAAAAAAATCAGCTGAGTCACTTTTATCGAACGGCACTGTAGTTTCTCCGAGAATCTGCCTTAAGTAGATATTCAGTTTTCCATTTCATATGTCCTCTGCTCAACCTTACATCGCTTCATCTGCAAGTTCTTTCGTTTTTCTGTTAACTGTATGAGAATTTGTCGCCCTCCTCGCTTTGGAGTTAGACGGTTCCACAATTGTCTTTTAATTATTTTTAGGATCAATTCTTGCTGTCATAATGGGTCTTTTATTATTCTTGTGTAGTCGCCAAGTCCCTTGACAGAAGAAACGAGATATTTGTATTATTAGCATTGTTATTAATGTCAGGTTTTCGTTTACAATTTTTTTTTTATCTTTTTAGCACTTTTTAGAATTATTATAATTTTATTCTTTTTTCTACCGCTATTAATAATTTTCTTCTTTGTCATTTCTTGGTTAATCTTTATCATTTTATTTCAAAGATTTCTGTACGTTCTGTTTGGTTTTTGTTTTCCTTTCCTTTTTTTTTTCGTGGGGTAAGGGACTTGAGAAATATTGCCTTCGTTTTTCTCGACCATAATATCCTTACTTTCACATCGACATGACTGAAGTTAGTCTTGCCAAACGACATTGCTGAAGAAAGAATTCACAAATATTATTGATTTCTTTGTTTCCCGATTTCTTCAGTTCATTTTCATTTTTATTTTATCCCCATCTTTTTTTTCCGCGTTTTTCTGCAGTGTCCTTTCTTTTTTTTTCTTTTTTTCTTCTTCGGCATCTTTCCAGATTTGCCTCTTGAGTATAAGCAGTGAGACTTCTACGCGCTTTTTCATCAATATTTTCCTTCATTCTTTTGTGCTTACTACCACTATTGCTTGCTGCTGCTACTCCATTGTCCTTATGAATAGGACGCCTGCCGAAGAGCGATGGTAGAGTGAGTGCGCTTTATTATTATTATTATTATTATTATTATTATTATTATCCCTGTATTTTCCTTCTTTTACCTCAACATCTTCATTTTCTATTTCTCCGTCGCCAGTGAGACACGCTGCAAGAGCTACTCCGTTTCGCGAGGTTCGTCCCTTAACGAATCTATTAGAAAAATTTCCAATCAATCCGAGGGCTCCAACTGCAACTGAATTTCTTGATGTCCTCACGTGCCACATTTTCGAGATTTCGATTTCAAGGTCCTTGTATTTTGATAGTTCTTCAAAGATACATTACTGTCTGCAAGAACAGGCATATCTATAAGAAGGTACATTTTGTTTTTGCGGTCTCTAATCACGATGACTGTGTGATCAGTTTTGATTGTTCTCTCTGTGTGTATTGTAAAGTCCCATAAAATTGTAACAGGTCCTATCTCCGTAACCGGGTCTGGGTAGTGGTCATACCAATTTATGTAGTTTCCTTTCCGTAAAAGTTGCATATTTTCCAATGCAGTTATTGGCCCAATCTCTCATGCCGGCTTTTATATTCAGTGGGTGCCAATACCGTGCAACCGGATACAAGATGATTAATTGTTTCTGGATATTTATCACAGAATCTGCATTTTGAGCTAACAGTTTTTTCAGTATCTGTACTTGGTAATTTCTAGTTGGCATGCATTTGTCTTGTGCAGCAAGAATAAAACATTCGCTTTCAGCTTTTAACCCTGCACTACGTAGCCACTGATGGGTAGGGGGTTTGTCTACATCAGCTTGTTAGGTACGGTTCGAATATTGACCTTGAAACGATTTATCTTACCATTGCTTCTGTATCTGGTTGACTCCATTTACCTTTGCTTTCTTTATTAAGTATATTGAAGCTTCAGTTGGTGTATTATGCTTTACTTGCATTTCTTCACCTATTTGAAACTCCATTTTGAACTTTTTGGCTTCCTTTATTACGGAATAAATTTTCTTACATCTTTCATGTTCTTTTTTACATATACCATCATCCATCCTTCTGTATTTTCCAGATATCTTTAAAAGCCGATTGTTGTAGTTTTGTAAGACAGTTCTAGTTGAACTAATCCTCTGCCTTCTTTGGATTTTGTATATA